CCCTGCATCCTAATCCCTAAACCTAATCCCCAAATAACAAACCCTGAGCCCTAAATGTAAAGCTCCAAGGTTTCCAGCCTGACTTTCCGACACCGAGAGCGAACTCTCTTTCCAGGCGCACGAGTTTCGGTCCGAGTGCAGCAAAAGCGCTGCTTCTGCAGAGAAGGCCCGTGGGGCTTCGGTGCTTTCGTCTTTGCTTCTAAATTGGTAGCGGAGCGATTAGCGCTCCTAGGATCCAGTAGTTTTGTTCTCGGGCTGTGCCCTACTTGCGATGTCGCCTAGCGGTGCTACCACCAGTTCTCATGCGCACTCCCAATGGGATGATGTCACCCAACCTCGTGACGATTCTCCGCCCGAACATGGTGATGGCGGTGACGGCGTGCCTCAAGGTGATGTTGAAGGCCGCCCTCCTCGTGATGATCAGGATGATGGTTGGAGACAATGGGCTCCGGGACAACCCTGGAGTGGATGGAGTGAAGGCTGGCAAACCGGCCAGTGGGGTCACTCTTGGGATAGAGCCGAGCGTGGATGGAATGCTTCTGGGTGGGCTCAGGACAACGCCCACGGCTACGGCAACAGTGGAGGCCATCGTGAGTGGCAGACTTGGGGATCGGTTTCTTCCGGTCCAGGCTCTGCAGATGGAGCTGGAAATGAGCGAGATTCGAAGGACCCTCCTACTGCAGGCCAATGGGGTCGTCATGTTTCCGGAGGAGAAGTTTGGAGCTCACGCGAGGGCAGGCCCTCTTCAGATGCCCAAGGCAAAAGCTTCAATGGACAGAAGCTCGACGCGGCCAGAGGTCCCTCAGAACGAATGGTGGTTCCTTCTTTCTCTGGAAATACCGGCGACAGCGGTGATGACATCGGGACGACGGCCAGGTCTTATTTGAGGCAAGTCGCAGCATGGAGGCGAATGACCCGCCTCGGGGAAGAACAACAAGGCCTCACCTTGTACCAGCATCTGAAGGACAAGGCCTGGATTGATGCAGAAAGATTGGACATGGACCAGCTGGCTTCACGCAACGGTGTGGACTATCTGGTCGAGTGGGTGAGAGAAAGGTACCTTGACGTTCAAGTCACGCAGGTGGGCCGAAGTTTGTCAGGATTCTTCAGGAGTCTTCGCCGCAAAGCAAACCAGACGGTGCGGGACTACATGGCAGACTTCGATAGAGCTCACTCAAGGCTGCTCGAAGTCGGTTGTTGCCTCCCCGACGTGGCGGCAGCCTGGGTGTTCGTGGACCGTATGGGCTTGGAAGAGCAGGCGGAACTTAATTTGCTTGCTTCGGTGGGCAATCAGTATTCGCTAAAAGCTCTTCAACAAGCTGCCATTGTTCACGATCGTGGCCTCAGGAAACCATGGGATTCTCAGAGCCGAGTTCCCCGCAAGGAGTGGAGCAACAACAAGAAGCCCTTCTCGGCGAACATGGCCGACGCCGAGGACCACGACCTCTTCGACATCGACGAGGCCCCCGAGGACGATGCCGACGAGGATGGACCTGTACCTGAAGAAGTCGCTCAGGATCTATATCAAGCTTACATGACACATGCTACAGCCAAGCAGAAGTACAGGGAGAGTGCGAAGCTGAGGGGAAGCGATCCAGAGAGCTTCAAATCCCTTGCGGCCGAGAAGCTCAAAGCTGCGAAGGCTCGCTCGTTTTGCGCGGGCTGTAAGAGACGTGGGCACTGGCACAAGGCCGCCATTTGCCCGCTCAACAAAGGAGCCGGCGCTACAGCGACGTCTACCAGCGCCACTCAGAGCCCTTCCTCAGCAGCCTCGCCCAAGGACCCCGTGAGAGCCAACTATCCATGCCACGTGGTCCACGTCACCTGGGAGATTGAGCCTGGCAAGCCTCAAGACTTTTTGGCCATCACTGATACTGCGTGTTCAAGGTCGGTGGTGGGCGCCAGTTGGATCGACTCCTATATCGCGGAGACCAGGAGGCAGGGAACAGAACCTCTTTTCATTTCCTGCAAGGAGGCTTTCAAGTTCGGTGCTTCGAAGGTGTTCATGGCTGCCTACGGCGTGATCCTTGGTTTCGAGATTGGCGGGCATAAGATTGCTTTGCGAGTGGCAGTGGTCAACGGCGAAGTCCCGCTTTTGGTGTCGAGGGGAGCCCTTGGCAAGATGGGGATGGTGCTTGATGTGGAGGACAACACGGCTTCCTTCAAGAAGCTAGGAGTGAGGGACATGGCTCTCTCCTTGACTGATTCTGGTCACCCCGCTTTTGTCGTGAAGCCAGCAGTTCTGCCCAAGTCTGATGGCACAAGTTCCATTTGGGATGTTCAGGAGATTCAGATCTTTCCACACGAGGCGGCATACATGGGCGTTCCTGAGGGTCTAGGGTTTCAAGGGCCGGTGGGCGATGAGCGTGATGAAGATGATCTGTGTTCTTCTATTTGGATGGTGAGCTCTCATGATGTTCCAGGCCACAACCCTGATGAGCTGGATGCCTCACTTGAACGAGATCCCCGAGGTCCCTCAGGCTCCTTCAACAACATCTTTTATCCTAAGAAGATTGGGAACGCCACGAAGAACCTCCTTCTCGATGTGACCTTCAACCCCGAAACCTTCGCGTCATGGTGGTCTACAACAAACATCTCCAATGACTTCTGGGTCGAGAATGAAGACATGCTTGTACGAGTACATGTAATTCCCCGCAGAGCCTTTTTCAGTCCCCTCTACTGGAAAACCACAAACTCTTCCCACAAACAATCACTGCTGCAGAGTTTGGGAACGGTACGTACAATCAATGCCATTTCGTGTAAGACACACAGAGAGTTTGCGGCTATTCACGGCACATGGGACAGCAGTGCAGATGACTCAGCCTTGCCGATGCTGTGGGTTGGAAGGACTGTCTTTCGTAGACGCAAGCAGATGCCCACGAGCACCCCGCGACTTTTGCCTTCGCTCGATGGCCTCCAGGAGCGACCTTCTCACAGCTCCAGTGGTCACGCGGGCGAAAGTTCTCTCCGAGTTCACGATTGCCGAGGCTACGGCGCGAAACCTATGGTTCTCCAGCAGCTGGACCATGGTCGAGATCCGCTCGCTCATCCAAGAGGACAGAAAGAACCCGTCGGGCAACCACCCGGCCGACAGTGGGATGAGCAAGATACGGTGGATCAGCTGAAGGAGAGAGCAATGGAGTTGGGCTACCACCTCCCGCCGTACGCGACGAAGGGGACGATCATGAGGATCTTGCGCGACCAGAACGGGATGGGGCCCTCGTCCATTCTGGGTTTCGGAAGGTTCAAAGGCAAGATGTTCAGCGAGACCCCCGAGAGCTACCGCACCTGGGCCCTAAAGGAAGTGAACAGCCACGACAACCCCTCCGAGGACCTGGTGATGTTCGCGAACTGGTGGCAGGGAGAACTGCACCGATGGCGGGAAACGCCGCTGAGCAGGGCATCCCCGTCAAGCGCGGCGGGCTACTTGGACCCGGAGGAGAATGCAACGATCCCCTACATCGAGGACGCGAGCTCTACTACGTCATGGGACATGGTGACCAAGGAGACGCTCAACATGACGAGGCCCAAGTCGAAAGCGGCTCCTGCCCAAGCCCCAAGGACGCCACCGCGGAGGAGACCGTTCGAGAAAGATGGAGCTTTGGCGGCCCACATGGAGCAGGATATCCCTGCCGAAGTGAACGACGAGGTGAGGTACTTGGAAGAGAGGCTGGCCGTTCTCAAGGACAAGCATGGACTCCCACCCGGGAGCCAGTGAAGGAAACCGCTGAGGCAAAGGGCGGCAGCCACGAGGACGAGGAGGTCTACTATGCATGCGAGCCCGTCAAGGAGGACGCCTTTGAGTATTCCTACGGCACGAACAACCAGGATGGAGACTCCGAGGACTACGACGAAGCTATCGCCGAGGACGACACCGACGACATCCTGCTCGACCTCCTCGGGATCAATGCGAACGAGACGATGGTGGTGATCGGAGGCGACCGCGCGGATGATATAAACTCTGGAGGCAGCGGGGATGTATTCCAGCGTGAGACCACCGGAGTGGGCAATGCCAGTCGAGGACTACGGAGTTCAAGAGAAAAGGAATGCGAGCAGCTGGCCAAGGCAAAGCTCAACAACCAGGACTTCCTCTACGACGACCTCCTTGAGATTGTGAAGAACATCCCCCTCACCAAGGCGAAGAAAGGGAAGGCGCTCCGAAGATCAGGTGGCCTAAGGTTCGAGTACTTCCTTGGCGGCATGTAACATGCACGGCAATTTTAGGGGCATGTCAAAGCGATCGCGTTCTTTGCCATGGACGACCAAGTATGTGAACACGTTTATGAAGAGCAAGCACCAAGGGGCATGGACGTTCTTTGTCATCTTCTACAACTCTGCCACCGAGGTGCACACAGACCCCCACAATCTTCCGAACGTTCCCGTGGCCACGGTTTCCTTTGGCAAGTTCGAAGGTGGAGAATTGTGGATCGAAGATACAGGTTTTGGACCCGACACCCCAGGCGCTGTACAACGAGTCGATGCTGCAGGCACCGTCCGCTACGGCAAGACGGTGAGCACCAAGGAGCAGGTCTTCACTTTCGACGGCAAGGCCCGGCACGCAACCCAGCCCTGGAGCGGAGAGCGATGGACCCTATCGTGCTATGCTTCCCGGGGCTATCCGGATACAGATCCTCGATTCAGAGACGAACTCCGAGAACTACGTTTTCCGCTTCGTGGCCTTCCTACTCAACGAGGACAACTACCTGGAGGAGATCGAGGTTTCAGGCCGCAGAAGAGCACGAGGAAGTCTCTGTGGAGAAAAGCGGGCAGGCTTGCACTTTTGACCACGTGGTGTACGTCTACAGCCATGTCGTGCTCTACCACCAGTTTCCCTATGGCACGAGCGGCTCAGGCGGTGTGCATCTTTGAGATTGGAGGAGTGACCAAGACAATCGAGGCTGCGGACATGCAGTACTACGCCGCCGAACCCTTCGCCTACGAGTTCGACGAGGGCCAGGACGTTAACACGAACATGGTGCAGGAGACGGTGGAGGCCTTCGATCCCGCGGTGATCTGGGTGCACGGGGACAAAGCGAATATCTTCCCCCTTGCCGAGATTGCAGAGATTCTTTATGAGCACGTCGAAAAGGGGAGGCAACTGGCTTTGGAAGCTCCAAGAGATGATCCTTGCTGGAACAACAGTGCGATGAAGGAGTTGTTGTGCCGATACGAAGACCGATGTGTGAGAAGAGATACAGAACCCAACGTTGTCCGCATCAACGACATCTTCTATCACCCGACGCCTACGCCTACAGACCCCTCGCATCCTGTCCTCGAGCAGTACATGGCACAACACCTCAACCAGGAGGAGAGGGACGTGGATGCAGCGAACTCTTCGAGAGGGGCAGCCGCCATCACGTTCGAGAAGGGCAAGACCATTGCCCCCGAGGTCAGGAGCTCACTCAAGCGACTCCACCAGAATCTTGGTCACCCGGGCAATGTGGACCTGGCAAGGCATTTACACCTGGCAGGAGCAGACCCCAGTGTCGTTGAGGCCTGCAAACGCCTACGATGCCAAGTGTGCGAGAGGTCCCAGCGCGGATCGTCGGCCAAACCGGCTACGCTCCCCAACATCTTGGATTTCAACCAGGTGGTGGCGGTGGACGCTTTCTACGTTTACGACACGAACAAGGTGAAGGTGGAGCTGATGATCGCCATTGATGTGGGAACAGGTTTCATTTCCGCTGGGCCTTTGCTTGGTCATTCGACGCCTACAATGGAAGCTTCCTTTTGCGCCATTTGGAGCAACACCTTTGGAGCTCCCGGAACTCTTGTCTTGGACCTTGAATCAGGTCTCCAGTCTGGTTTGGGGCGATACAGTGAATGGCACGGCACTCACCTACGGCCTATAGCGGGGCAAGCGCACTGGCAGAACGGTGCCGTGGAACGGGCGATCAGAACCTGGAAGGAGATTTGGGTTCGATTGGTGGACGAAAAGACGGCCACCTACGACGAGGCCGGGATGGTGATCACCGCCGTTAACTCGGCGATGAACACCCTACGCCGAGACAGTGGATTCAGCCCGGCCCAGGCCGTGTGGGGCCGCGAGCCGAAGTTACCAGAGGATCTTCGTTCAGGTCCACAAGATGAGCACGTCGAGCACATCATCAGTCATGACCGCCAGCGAGCGCGCGAACACACCCTGCGTATCTCTGCGAAGGAAGCCTACTTCAAGTGCCAGAACGATGCACGACTACGCCGCAGCTTGTTGCAGAGATCAAGGGTGGCAGGGCCAGAGTTGGAAGTTGGAGCTCACGTGTTCTTCTACCGCAAGCCCAAGAACAACAAGAACTGGGAGTGGCACGGCCCAGCAGTGGTGATAGGCAAGGAAGGACCCAACACGTGGGTGTCTTTCACAGGGAGGTGTCATCTCGTGGCGCCGGAGCACCTTCGAACAGCGAGTGCCGAAGAGCTGGGCGCAGCTTTCGCCCTGCGTGCGACCCAAGAGGACCTACAGCGACTTCTCGAGCAGGACTTTGCCGACGAGAACACCTTCGAGAACGAAGACATGGAAGTGGAACAAGATCCAGAGCTTCAACCTGGAGATGCCGACCCCCAGCAAGATGAAGGTGGAACTCGTCGCCGCGTCAACCCGACGCAGCCACCACCTGTGACGAAGCGCCACCGTGTGAAGGGACCGCCAAGCGATGAGGCCATGCCAGTGGACCACGAGGTTTCATGATGAAGCTCCCGAAGACCCCCAGAGGCCGTGAGAAGGCCTTGGAGAAAGAAATTCCGTGGAGGTTGACTCCAGAAAGCCAACATGAAGCTTTCCGCCAAGCAGAGCTCAAGCAATGGCGCGAGCATGTGGACCACCAAGCGCTGTTACCCTTATCAGTGGAGGAGAGCCGGGCGATAGCTCAAGATCGCCCACACCGCATCTTGGGAAGCAGATTCGCCTACAAGGACAAGCTTTGGTGCCAAAGGAAGACCAACCCTGAGGTGGGCTGGAAACCGAAGGCACGCCTCGTTATCCATGGACATCGAGATCCAGATCTCATGAAAGGGCTTGCGACACATGCTCCGACGATATCACGCCAAGGTATACATCTTCTACTACAAGTGTTGGCCAGCAATCTTAAGAAGGGATGGCGAGGCTTTGCCGGGGACGTCACCGCGGCATTTCTGTGCGGAGAACAACTAGACCGCGAGTTGTTCTTGCGTCAGCCTGCTACTGGACTGGGCGACTTGCACCCAGAACAGCTACTCAGGATTCAGAAGCCGATTTTTGGGCTTGTGGACTCCCCCGAAGCTTGGCCCCATGTCGTGAGCCCTAAGCCCAAACCCCCCGGCTGTTGCCCCGGGCTGTCTGTGGGGTTGTCCGGGCTGTGCTGTTAATTTCTCGGGGCTGTTGTCCGGACTGTCTGTGGGATTGTCATGTTTGTTTGTCCGGGCTGTCCGGGCTGTTTGTGGGGTTGTCCGGGCTGTATTGTTTGTTTGTCCGGGCAGTCCGGGCTGTTGTCCGGGCTGTCCGGGTTGTGGGGGGTCCGAAGTGACACCTTTTGGGGGGTCCGAAGCGACACCGTTACCACCAGAAGCCGTTTCTGAAAATCCATATTGGCAGAATCTCAGCCCCAAGGTTTCTAGATTCTAGACCTGCGCAGACAACATCTTTTATTTGGGCCTGCCGAGACTCGCTTTCCTGAACACACCTCGAGCTGCTCCCCGTCCAGTTCCATAGCCATGCTGCGAGCTCCAGGTCGTCAGCATGTACGAACACATGGAGGCGCTCCTGCTCGGGGAAAGCTGAAGATTCTGCGACATGCTGTTGAGGTGGCGTCCTTGCTGGTTAGGCTTCTCTTAGCCGTGCCGCGGGCCGTGCCATGCGGCTTTTGTGTCAAGATTGCGTCGAAGGAGCCGACGAATGTGACAGCTTTACACACATCGGCCATCACGGTACTCACCTTGATTCTGTTGGATGTGCAGGGTTGGCGTTGCAAGACGCGCATGTTCAGCGCCCTGCACCTCCCGGATGAGATGGAATTCCTGGAGACCCGGGTGTTGTTGCGACCAATTCTTTCACTGTGTCGGAATTCGGGATAAGCACTACTGCCTGTAAACTACCAAACGTTTTACGAGCTGTTGAGCTGCTGTGCACACCACACGTTGCAGCGCTGAGGAGAAGATGCAGAAGGCCGACTTTCGGTGTTTCTGCATCAGCGTGGGGCAGCCTACGGTCAGATACTCTGAATTTGTTTTCTCTCGAGCATTCACAGAAGTAGCATTTGTTTGTTGCCGAAAAGGTGTGTCAGCCGGATCCGTGTCACAAAGCAACCCTTGTCCATGCGTGTGTCTGCCATCCCCGCTTGCTTATTTTGAATATATAGATACACAGTCAAGAATTGCGGTGGCACAGAATTTCGCTTTGCGCAGAGGATAGCTGCAGAAGAGGCCATGCGTAATGGAGATATTATCTCAAAGCCGAGACGTAGCAGCGCCGTTGTGCATGCATGAAGACAGGTAGGATTGTATGTTTGTTGTTGATTTTGTACGGTGTTTGCGGCATAGATGACGTGTAGAGACATGCGGCACGTGGAACAGGAGGTCGGGGCTTACCATGTCTACAGATTCAGATATGTATACATATATATATATACACACACTCACATGTACTGATTATGACTTCGGAGCACTGCTTTGGGACAGCATCCCGAGGTGTCGAGCTGTCCCAGTAGAGTCTCAGTAGAGCTGCATTGAACTGCATCCTTGCAGGCAGCCCTCTGGTGCAGCTACCACCCCAGCTGCTACGGGGTGCAATTCTACAACGCCGGGATGGAGGCCCCAGGCTTAACGGATTCTGGGGTCAGAGCTGCGCGCCTCAGTTCGCCATCAGTAGTGCGCAGTATAACTGGTGGAGCTGCACGTTTCGACTGCCGTGGCAGCTCCTTCAGGCGAGAAGGTGTCCCCACAAAGCTCGCAATAGCATGCATAACATGATACACAGCAGCATCCCCGAGTTTGACACTGCGCACGAGCGCAGCACCGAAATCGCCCGAGCTGAGAGCAAAGTCTTTCGAGATCCAAGCATCCCTCGAATCGCCGGAACAGTAGGAAGGAAACCCCGGCAGCAATTTCGATGACGGTTCGTCTTCCCGCTGCAGGAAGACCCCATGTACTGCTTGAAGTGGTGCGGGGAGCCACAATGGTGCTTGGCGCCCATCCTGGAGCTTGTTGCTGCAAGTAGGATGTGGGCTTCCCCAAGAGATCGTCAGTTGCTGAATGTGCTGCATCTCCAATCTCCAAAAATCTCATGAGGCCGGGGATGAGAATTATTTTTTACGGAGCTCCAAGGTCAGGTTTGGAACTCCGCATTCTGGATTCCGCAACTCTGTGCACTTATCTAAACTTGCTCAGCTGTGTACAAGCCGTGCAGTCCATGTCAGTGTGAATGGAGTCACGCGGGTCCCCGACCCAATCGCGAAGTAGGGGACGAGCACCATGTCACCGGTGCTCGAGCATGTCATCATAAGAACGGCTTTCGGGTGTCCAAAACGCTTTATACAGCCTTCGCAACGCCGATGCCCTCAGCACATTTGAGGAGAACGATGGAGTCAAGACGGAGGAGCTGGTTCAAGACAATCTGTTTTACCTGCTCGTCCGGCACTTATGAAGGGGGCACTCGACATGTTCTGGGTATCACCCCTGGGTCACTCTTCGCTACAAGTATCACCATCGTGAGTAGCACCGCTATCACGCAAGCGCCGCAGCTGTGAAGCGAGGCCACCAGGCGCTGTGCACGTAAAGGAATGCTCTCGACTGCCGCTGTCCCAAATGCTCGAGAATGTCAGCTCACCAAAATTGGAAGTACCCACGGCGACACGAGCCAAATTGTGACAGACAAAGCCAATTGAGCTGCGCCCGGCTCACACGCTGAGAGAGGCTGAAGATGTCGACGGTGTGAGCTGTATAGTGACTCGAAAAGCATGAGCTTTAGATACGAAGCCGCAATTTCAAAGGGTCCGAGTCCGAGCCCGTCGTCTCGAGGTCAAGCCGCCCCATGGCTCCTACACCATGGCCCAGCCTCTGCACGGGCTGCCTGCCAGGCGGAGAGAAGATTCCTAGGTTTCGCTGGCAGCTTGGCTGCTTGCGCCCCCATGTTTAAGGGGATTTCTACAGTTGTTACAGTAGGTGCTTGGACAAGTTGAAATTTAGGGTTTAGCTAAAGCGGGGTTTCGAAGCTGGTTTGGTACCTTCCGACGTTTAGCAGGTGCTCTTACGCTGGCCGTGTGAGCCCGTGCTTCGATCCCCTCGCTCGAGAGGCTTGCAAGGCCCACGAGCTCCATGGCACTGTGGGTAATTAGGTTCAAAGTGCAAGCACCGTCGAAAGATATAGTTAGTTCATGAACCCACCCAAGATGAATTATGGAGACTCGGAGAGACCTCCTAGCTCAGCCTGATGCAGGGGTCCTGGTTTAGGGGAGTAGCAGCAAAGAAGTTGCCATCAGTAAGCATGTCCAGTTGGGCATGTGCAATGATATAAACATCGTTCCAAGCACTGCAGCATGATCAAGATACGTTGTCATCGTAATCGTGCTCGCGAGCGTATCCATCCGTCTGAGGCTGTCTTGAGACTGGCTCTGGTGCAGATATGCAAATCAAACGGAGAATGATGATGTCAAAAGAAGGCATGATGACGCAGCAACAACATTCACCGTTTGTCGCAGAAACGTCCAACAGCGGCGATATGTACTGTCTCCCACTCGACAACGAAAACGCGGCATAGTCGACTAATCAAAGCATCGTCAGTAACTAGTTGCGATGACTTCAATGCCAGACTCATGGAGCAGCTTCCTCATGAGATTGATATATTTGGGCCATACATTTTTAGAGAAGATAACAGTACCATAGAGCAGCTCTCCGAGCAACAGCAGGAAAACAGACAATACTTTGCGGAACTATGTCAGGAAAGACGCCTTGTAGTCATGAACACCATGTTCCAGAAAGATAGCGCCAGATTAATAACATATAAAAATACGACAACACCGAATTTTCAAACTCCTTACATGACAGATCGATATGCTCAAATGGATGACATCTGTATCAATCAGCCTTGGAAAAATTCTGTCACAAATGCTGAAACGACCCTGCAACATTCGATCACATCCGACCACAAACTTTTAGTATCAAGTCTGACCACCAAATTGGCTCGGAAAGGAAAAAAGATTCGGGATAACCCACAGATGTATCGTCCACCAAGCAATGAACAGTTACTAGAATACAACCAACTTGTCTCAGCATCATATGAGGATCAACAAGTTTCCGCAAATGAAGATCCTTTTGAGATATGGGCCAGCATTTTACAAGATGCCG